TATTTTCACTACTTACAGCAGAAATGAAGAAGAGCCATTAAAAAAAAAATCCACAGAAGTAAATAAACTGCTTGAGAATTCAATGTTAAAGACTTCTGAAAGGGTATTTCCCCTTCCTCACCAGACAGACACTAATTCTGAGAGGTGCTTTTAGCCTCTGGATTTGTACTGAAATTGGGTGACAGCTGGGATTTAGGGGAAGCACTCAAGGCCTCACAGAGATATTGGCATTATTTTAAGAGTAGTATGCTGGATCAGAATTTTCTTTCTCAAATCAGAGGTGAAATCTGCCAGCAGAAATTCATCTGGAGCTGGGACATGCAGGATCTCAGAACAGTAGGGTCTTGCCTAAGACTAGACTGGCAGCATCTTTCCCCTTGAGAGGCTGCAGCTCATGGGACCTTTTGATTTCAAAACCCAGCAGAAGCCAGGAGCTGGGAGATATCCATCCTCAAGTGGTATGAGAGGGAGTCCTACCTCCTCACATGCTGCAGGACAACCAAAATACCCCTGTGGGCTGCAGTTGGCACCACTGTCACAGGTTACAGATCCACACTTTAGGGAAAGATGCCAAAAACTAGTTAAACTGTTCACAAGTTCATTTATCCTTTCCAAAATTAGTGTCAACTGCTGAGGATGCACAAACTAAAACACTCTCACACACAGCCTGAGTGCCTTGACAATTCAAGTCGTGGTAGGGATTAACATCACCATTTAAAACTTTCAAAAGTATTGCAAACAATTACCACGCCCTCAAGCCACAGATAAAATATTCTGTAAAGCTTAAATACATATTTATCTGGCATGAAACATTTCTCAGTGCTGGCAAAACTTCCCTGCAATTTCTTACAATAGAATACTTTTGAGTTCAGGAGTTGGCTGGAGGGTAAAATTGTTTTATTTATTAAAACCCGTATTTGATCTTACCTTTTAGCAGAGGCAGGGGAGTTAACTCGATAGGCTTGCCCTGAGACCTAAACTGGGAGGAGCTTTGTGACCTCTTCTGTCTGGCTTTTCTGACGGACTTCCGAGAAAATCCGTCTACTTTATCCACTGATGGAGGAGTAGTTGGTGCTGAGGACATATCCCTACTGAAGGAAAACAAAGGTTACAAATATATTACAAATGAGTGAAATGGGTAAAGATTAGCCTAAACTTCCCAAATATCTTATTTCTGCATCACTCTCCTGTTGACAACTCATCCACCTAAACTGTTAAGAGGTTTAACCCACCGAAACATTTACACATTGTATGGAATAAACTTAATGGAGCTTAATTGTTAGTGTAATAATTCCTCTTGCTCACTTTTTTATCTGTGTCTCCCGTTTGCCAAAAATCCTGCAACGGGAAAAATTCAGACCTAATGCTGACATCATTATGTCAACAGAATTCACACACCTGTAGACCTGACATAGGATTGTAGCTTTAAACTACGTATTCTTTGGGATGAAGTAATTTCAACTCACTCTGCAAGGGACCATGCATGCATGCTAAAGAATGGGTACATGGGTACACAAAAAGGTACAAATTTTTTTTGGCATTAAAGTCACCAATATGCATATGACCAAAAAAAAAAAAAAAAAAAAAAAAAAAAAAAAAAAAAAAAAAAAAAAAAAAAAGGACAGATGAAAAATTCCATTTGTTTCCCATACCTGCATACAAGATTTTATAGAAATGTAAGGAAGTATAGCAGAAAGTACTGCTATGCTTCACAATTTCACTAGCTCCCTGACAAATTCTACATAGCATTTCTTCATTCTCCATTTTAGGAATACTCAGTTATTTTCCTGTGAGTCTCTTTACGTGTAGTTATTCCAACATTCTGGCATTTCTGTAGGACCAGCAGTGTGGTAGCTGTAGCTGTTCTAAGGGGCACAAGCCAGACAAGGTTTGCAGGGAGAGGCAGAGAGCCAAAAAAGGCTTCTGCAAGCAAAAGTTTGTTTGTTTCCCAACTTCAGCTGGTGCAAGCAATAAACACTGCATCTTCCTATACAACTTGCCTCGGTAGTACTCCTGTAGCTGATTCCATACTACTGGGAAACATTTAAACATTAATGCATTCACCTATTGTATTTACCAGTCTTGTCCTGTGTGTTAGAAAGGCTCACCAGATCTTGATGAAATACATGAGTAATACTCAACAGAAACGAGACAGGAGGAATTCAGGCCTACATGTTTCAAGCAGCTCTGCGCACAGTTAACTTCACCAGCGTGTGCAGCTCCCCTGAAATCAGCAGCCCCATCTGCATTAATGACACGATCATTAGCGAGAGCAGCTCCCTTGATTTCAGCCAGGCCACACACTCGTGCAAAGTTAAGCATCGGCGTAAGCATTTGCAGGATCAGGGTCTTAGAACGTGTCCTTGGAAAGCATTACTCATCCTCAGTGTCTGTTGACTTCAATTACCAAAGTGACTCCTTTGCTACAAGAAGTTGATTCCACGACATGGAGAACACTTTCGAGTACTTATTTTTATTAAAATATTTGATTACTCACAGGCTTCATAAATTACTAAATCCCCTGAAACAGACATTATTTGGGTTTGTCTTTTGTAAGAAAAGCTTTCGAAAGCACGATTTGTTGCAACAATGTAAACAAGGTCTGAAAGATAAGAACTACCTAATGCAGAATCACATATAGGTGCACTAAACCTATGAAAAATGGGAGTATAAACTCCATAGCTTCTTCGAGGAAGCATGTGCAGCACTCAGGAGCTGAACTGTGCAGCTGGCATTACAATAATGAAAAAATCTCATTCCATCTTTTTGATTTCTCCTGAGGTATTCTTCCACTACCAGCTTAGGCTTTCTAAATATAATATACTATCAGCAACATGAACCCGTACCTTAAACTGGTCTTGTTTATCATCTGGGCGGAAAAAAAAAATGCCACCATCACCAGGGCATTCAGGCCCCAGCCAAGATTAATAAATAAAAAAAGTCAGATAAACTGAAATAGAATGGCCTGTACTTTAGCAACCCACTTCTAGGATTTCAACAGTCCGCCAAAAAAACATACAAACACAAAGTTACCTGTTACATAAACCAAATTCTGGAAATATCAGCAAAAAAATATATTCCCTAAACCTGGATCGGTTTGGCCCTATTTCATCTCATCAGAAAGCTTCCCCTCCTCATCACGTGCATCATTAAAGTGTAACCATCCCTGCAGAAATGTTTGCACGATGCCTCCAAATTAAATTACCAAAAAGAAAAAAAAAAAAAGAAATAATAATAATGGACAGGGGCTAAAGTAGATCACTTAAACTGCAGGATCATTGTGTCAGCAAGGAGCTTTACTGACACTTCTCTGCTGTAAATTTAGTAACAGTTTCCCTAACCTGCTTTATAAATTATTAAAATCTAATTCTAATTCAACAAGACTCCATCCAGCCTAACAACGTTACAGTAAACACTGATCTTCCTTTTCGTCTCCCCAAATGAACATTCGCTGCCCTGCATACACTATCACAGGGAAATACTCTGTTTCCACCAAGAGTGGCGGGGGGGAAGGGGGGGGGGAGGGGGGGAAGGGGGGGGGAATAAAGCCCG